TTTGTTATGTTTGGAGCACAATTTCAATTCAATTTATTTATATAGCTCCAAATCACAACAGAAGTATCTTGGGGCACTTGTCACATAGAGCAGGTCTAGACGTACTCTTTGAGTTACAGACCTAACATTCACCCACAAGCAGCACTTGGTGACAGCAACAAGGAAAAACTCCCTTTTAACGGGGAAGAAACCTCAAGCAGAAGCGGACTCTGGGTGGGCGGGCATCTGTCGATATTTGAGCTATCTGCACACAGGCTACATCGTGATAAACATTGCTTTGTAAATGTTTAGGGTGTTTGCTTGACAAAATGAATCAGGGCTGGTCCTGCTCAGTACATGTGTAAAATAAATGGGATTAGAATAAAATCGTGATTTTGCAGTATTTGTGGTCAAGGGATTACCCTGCCCTATTATGTATTTGACACACCAAATAAATGGCATTTAAAGATGACAGACTGCAATTAATAATATTTAACGTATGTGGGCCGATGTTAAATGAAGCCAAAATTAAATGATATGAATTTTGATGCGGTTGTCTTGCTGCCAAAAGTGGAGCGTGATGGTTGTCTTTTAATGTTTTCCACATCGCACACTGGCCACACAGATATAATTAAACTTCATATCCAACACTTGCAAATATACAGTAATGTCGATGGGTGTGCATTTTCTGTGTAAATAAATACCAACAACTCAGGTGCATGCTCACATTCAAAACCAACACAGTAGGTACATTACCTAAGCCTATTCTGGTTAGTTTGCAGCATTCTGCATGTGGTGAAAGGACAACTTGATCAGCATTTGGCAACAGGAAGAGCTTTACTCTCCAAATTCCACTTGTCCTATTTTCAGGTGCTTGTGTTTCTGTACAAAAACAGAATATTACATATTGTTAGAACATTGCATATTGTTATACAACTGTGCCAGTAGCACCTCCAGCACATTAGGAATTTTAATTTCACTGTTACTTCACTGAGTACAGTTTAGCCAGGAAGGAGAAAACTTACAGATGACCATTTTCTTATAATAGGTTTCACTTTCTCTACCTTATCTCCCCACCTACAGTCCACCATTATGAGAGAATTATTAAGAATGACCACGATTATGGGGTTCTCATGTTATGTCCTCAGTCACAGACATAACATTTCAATATTTTACTATTGTTGACTATTGTTGACTAATGTAAAGTGGTTAGCGCTGTTGCCTCACAGCAAGAAGGTTCCGGGTTCGATAAGAGGTATGGTGTATGAATGTTTGGTGGTGGTCGGAGGGGCCGTTGTGCGCGAATTGGCAGCCATGCTTCCGTCAGTCCCCAGGGCAGCTGTGGCTACAAAACGTAGCTTACCACCACCGGTGAGAATGTGTAGGAATGAATGATGGTCTTTGGCTTTGGGTGTCTTGAAAAGCGTTATATAAATCCAAGGCATTTTTAAGCCTCACACAAACATGCTGTACATACAGACGGGTGACAAACCAACATAAAGTGTCTTAGTAAGGTGTTGCTGTCCTGCCAGAACAGCTTCAGAGTTCCTTTTTATTGATTCTACAGTCTCTGAACTCTTCTGGAGGGATATATCTTCATAAAGATATTGGTGGTGTTAGGTATTCAGCTGGGTTGAGATCAGGTGACTGTGAAGGCCAAAGCATATGATTCACATCATCTTCATACTCATCAAACCATTCAGCGACCCCTCGTGTCCTTTGGATGTCATCGTCATCCTGTGATCACTCACAACAACTTTGTATTGATTTGCAGTGACCCTTCCCTCTAAGGGGACAAGTGGACCCAAACCATGCCAGCAAAAAGCCCCCCACAGGATAACAGAGCCCCCAGATCCCCTTACTGTAGGGGTCAAACATTCAGACCTGGACAAGTTTTTCCTTTAATTTGTCACCTATCTGTGTGCACAAAAGCACATTTACACACACATTCTTTCTGTAGCAACACACAAAGATCACAGTTTAACCTTTACTAAAAATGTTAGGTAACATGTTGAACAACAGAACACAAACAAATCGATTTACTTAAAAGTATGAGTGTTTGCCTTTGTTAAATTGATGGCATTAATTAATTTCGAAATTATCCCAAAATTGTTTGACTTGCAGAAAAGGCATATTGTAAAAAACCTTGTTTTAATATTGTCATGATAATAAGTGATTAACATTCATCCAGTAGGCCTAATAGGAGTTTTCTCCTACTTTCTTTAGGCTAACTTTACACATTATAGCCAGCAACCAGCCGTACCTGGTTAACTGTCCAGGCCGGCTCCAACATGAATTGTAAAAGACCAAACATGATGAATTTAAAAGCCACTCGCGAGTTAGCAGTGACAGTGAAACAGTTTTTAACATTAACGCTAATACTCATTTAAGAAGGCCTGGTAGTAGTTACCTGTCGTCGGACCTGCTCTTCTTCGCCTCTGAAATGTGTTTCTTGTGGCTCTCAGGATGTTGTCATCATTCCTCTGCGATGCCAATTCCCGTCTTGCTGCATCGAGCGCATTCCAGACGCGATCAATTACATTATTAAAGCCGATTTCTGCGGCAGCTTCATCTGAAGGATGGCTCATATCACTAGGAGCGCCGGCCATAAACGTTACGTCCAGGTGTTGGCTGCCACCTTCTGGTTCCATCTGACCGTGTAAAAAGCGCGCAGAAGCCCCGTCAGTGTTTATGACTGTGCTATTATATGGATCTTTCTGAATAATGAAGTCGATTACAAATTATATGCTGCATCATGATTGATTATTTAATGTGGTGATCAACATTATCTATCTATCTATCTATCTATCTATCTATCTATCTATCTATCTATCTATCTATCTATCTAAGATAGTAGTAAAAGATTAAATTGATTTACTGGTATGTCTGGATGTGAAAATATGTTAGATTTGAAATGTTGCTGATATAATTCATAATCATTTGTAATTAACATAATAAATATCATAAAAAATAATTTTAATGAAATAGAACAGTCTTTTTCAAATAAATTGTGTAGTTGCACATTTTCTATACATAAAAAGATTAATGTTACATTCACTTTGCTTTTCATGTCGTTGTACATTTAATCTACCAAAATGCATTCAATTTATTGGCATGTTAATACAAAATAAAACAAATTAACACACTTCCAGAAATGGCTGCTACTAAAACTCAAGTTACTATACAGCGTGGGCACTTTAAGAGGTCCAGCACACAGTTTCAACACTGACCAATCAGAATATTTGTCCCGCCTGATTCATTTGCATGCAGTCCACTAGTACTACTAGTTGCCCTATTTCCGTAGTACTAGGACTACTAGTGAAGCTCAAAATGCTTACTAGTACTACTAGTAGGAGCCAAAATGTCCATTAGTTGCACTAGTTGAGTGTTTTTGGGCTTACTAGTACTAATAGTAAAAGCCAAAATTTCCACTAGTACTACTAGTAGGGAGTTTTTTACCTTACTAGTACTACTAGTAAGATCCAAAAAGTTTAACTAGTTAACTAGTAACACAGATTTTTGCCTTACTAATTAACTAGTAGAAGAATTTTGTCCGACTAGTAAGACTTTGTACCAAACATGTAAAGACTTTGAGCGAACATGTAGGAAATTTTTCGTACAATGTTGACACTTTCCTTTAACTAGTTGAGCCTCGCACCGCACTAGTAAGTGACTGCGCGCAACTAGTAAGACTTTTGTTTAACATGTTGGGCTATGGAAAGCCGTTTGAGCATTTATTCGATATCCTTGATATCAAACGTAAGTTTCCTCTACTAGTTCGGTCTTTGGCAGCACTAGTGGGACATTTTGTCAAACTAGTTGGCCATTTTGCCGTACCAGTCGAACAAAAACTGTTAGTTAATAAAAGATAATGAGTTCCTCTGTTTGTCATAAGCTAGCAGCCAATGTTAGTTAGTCACCTGCAGTTATAAATAGAGTCATGCTGGAGGAGGTTTTCCCACATTTAACAACCCAACAGTTGTTGTTATTAATGACTTATAACTGATCTGAAGCATTTGTGATTTATTAACCAGTAATAGAGGCAGTATTGACCCTTTAGAGACTGTGCCTTATGCCCATTTAATGAACCCTCTACTGTCTAACGGTCCTGTCACTAGGTGTTTATCTTACACTTGGTGAGATGTTACACCACGATGATGCATCAGAGTCTGTGACCCAAATATTCTGAAAGCTGAAATTATAAATAATATAATCATTTATTTTATCAGTCTGTGCTACATTCTCCATTTAGATAGATGTTACTAAGAACAACGTCCCTGTAGTATTTTAATAAGAGTCATATTCTGATAGCTGTTAACCAAAAAAATGATACAGAGATGATCTCACCATCAAAATACAGTATGTGTGTAAATAATGGTTGCTGTGCAGATATTTCTAATCAGGTCAAAGGTGATGAGTCACAGACGATAGTGTACACATGGCCGCTGTACCCACTGTATCGCTGCATGTAGCCTGAATGAGGTTTAATGTTTCTCTGTGGGATCTGAACTGTTAACACTGTGATGTAGATGGCACACGCCATTTAAATTAATCTATAGATTTCATTGATGAAACTTTAAATGTCATTGTTATCGTGACTTCCAATGCATTATGGTTCTTCATACTCTGAGAGGGGATTATAGTTTTAACAGCAGATGAATAGGATGAAATGCACATAACCCATTGTTTGTACAAATGAGTAGACTGAAGTGGTGTGTGTGTGTGTGTGTGTGTGTGTGTGGAAGTTACTGACTCTAAACATGACTGTGTGAGGTAACTCTAGACGAATGCAGAAACGTGGACTTGTCCTGTATGTCTGCAGGTCTCATGTATTTCTGAAACACACTAACATGTAATCAGGATGAATTAAGGAAAGAGGTTTATCTTTGTATTGGTAATAAATTTATGCTTATTCATACAGGTCAGATAAGGTCCCAGAAATGCAGTCAAAATTGCATCTGCCCATTGTTGCACACCCACAAATCACATGAAGCACACACAAAAGTACAAGTTGTCATAGATACTGTTTTTCCAATATACATATATTTCATGATGTTCATCAATATAATAAGACATTGATAGATTTACACTACAATTATTTTATGTACTTTAGTTTGTCACTCAGTCTCCTCTCCTTTACGTTGAGTCAACCTTGTTTAGTTTCTAATCCCATACCAAATGACAGCACAATAAATCTATCAATAAATAAAAGCAAAAGAAAAGAAAGAAAGAAAATAAAACTGAGCACATTGCCCGTGATCCTCCAGCCCTGTCCCTCCAGTGAGGCCAGACGAAAAGGGGCAACATGGACCTCCATCCCAGAAACCCCAGTCCCAAAGAGAAATCAAAAATCTTTCCTCAAAAATAAACAGATTTAAACAAAAAATATATCTTGTAGATACAAACAGCAATCTGATGTAAACTGTAGAATCATTCTAAGCATTCTGGACAATTGAAGGTAAAAATACTTTTTTTTCCCATTAGCTCCCCATTTTCTTTACCTTTACCCTTCAGTGCTTACACACAAACAATTAAGTGACATCTGGAGTTATTACTAAATTGATGCAAAAGAAAAAAAATACAATATTTGGTTCAAAACAAAACATGTTAACATACATTAAGTTGAATATTGTATGTTTATAGCCATCCAGCGAACATTCAGCGACTCATAAGGTTCCCTCCTGTTGCTGTGTTCATCCCACCTGGGGGCAACAGTAAGCTCTGAACATATCACACCTTGTTTTGTTGAAGGTTTGGATCTTCTGTTGGTCTCTGTCTTTCTGCTTGGCTCCTTCCAAGTTTGAATTACAAGTCCATCAGTTGGAATTCAAACCTGGAAGAGGGTCTGAACACTTTTCCTCCTCGGATCACCCCCAAATGACCTGAACACAGCGTTAAGTTGAGATCACTGAACAATTCCTGAGGTTGACATAAGACAATATTCTCCATCAAATCATGTTCCCATCCCTCCAAAAAAATAAAAAAAAATAAAATCAAAGAATCACAACAGAAAAAGTGCCACGGTGTTAAAATATATTATGCGCACTTCTTTTCATACAGACAATAAAGCAACAGAAAAAGAGAGCACTCACTTCATTTTCACAATTGTGACCAAATTGTTTGAGCACTCACAGGACAACAACTGGATTCATGGATAACACAGACGTCCTACCCCAATCAGTAGTGTTATTTCACTTCAGTCCACTGTGTGGTTAACTCCTGCAGGATGGCTGAAAGGACCACGTTTGAAAGCCTAAAGTGATTTTCTATTGCCAAAAACCCAATTTTTACAGTTTATTAATATAGTTTTTGTCCTCATATATATTTTGGTAAATCGCTAATACCTTAAACCTGAGGATATAGGACCCCCTACCCCCAAAACACCCCCATATTACGACACCGAACAATGCAGATTTTTTATAACATTTTTCTTTATGTCTAATAGCTATAGTTTGTTTCTGTCTTTTTCACTTTCAAACTTGGCAGCACTATGGAGACAGAGAAAAAAGAAGAGTTGTGCTATTATTAGTTACAGGATCATGTGTCTAAAAACTTGTTACAGATTAAAGAAGCTCTTCAGACCTGGATACACGTGGTGGGGAGACTGTATTGGAGATTTGAAGCATGCGGTCCTTATGTTTTGGTTTAATTTGCATATATTAGAAGGGCACACTCACAAGCCAAACTGGCACACCATATAAATAGTGTGTCGTCGTTAAGAGGTCCTGTAATCGTGGATAGATAGGGTAAGGGCATAAGCTATTTAAAACAGACTCGGACGGTTGGAATAACCTGTTTCTCTCTGCTTGTTTTTGATGGCAGTTGGCAGCATAAGCGTGGGAATCTGGTCTTTGGTAATCTTCTGCAGGTTACTTTTGTTCTATTAAGAGTAAAACACATAAGGGAGCGGAGAGGAAGAGTGGGTTTCTTGAGGTTGGGGTCCTTCCTAATGGAACTGGCCGACAGATCTGTAACCTCTCTGCTTGTGTACTTCAGTGGTCAAGGAAACAACGTGCCCTCACTCTGAGATTTAAGCGGCCTAATCTGTCGGGATAAACTAGGGATATTCCCAAGACAGAGCTATTCTAACACACTCACACACACACACTTACACTGCTGCTCCTGCGCGCGCACACACACACACACACACACACATACACACACACATCCTGTAGGATTCTGAATCAGTGAGTTGAGCAAAAGGGGGGCTGGTTGTTTCTACTCAGCTCGTGGGGAAGATAAAAAGTCATGTTGAAAAGAGAGAAGGCTGCTAAGGCTTTAAACACACTTGATCTGAAATATTGCAGGTGGTTTTGTGGTCTCTATAGCCGTCCAGTGGCTGTAGCCTGCAGCTGAACTTGTTAACATGGCATCAGTGGCAGCAAAGCAGGAGCTGAGTTGCTCCCTGTCAAGCACTTATTAATGCAGGCCTGCACACTTAGAAATCCTCCAGTTCATGAAACACAGATTTGATTAAATAACTGAACTGCAACTATCTCCAAGCTTTGATTGACTACGACCACAAGCAAAACCCTGCAAATAAAAAATGGTTTCAAATCCCTAAAAGTACCTCTCCTGGTTTTAAGGAATTTTAGCTTTGCCTTCTTATAAAGGCCTTTTTTTGACAGAGCATTAAAAACCAAGTGCATCACATTGTCCTGTTCTCCTGCTCAAGTAGCCAAAAGGGTCATATACACAGGAGCAGATGCCAAAAACAGTAAAAGAATAAGTCAAGATCAAACCAGCGAGGGCACCAATGAAAGAAATAATTGCAGTAACAATAGAAGCCTCTCCCTTGTTGTTTGGCAGTGTATAACGCATGGAGCTGAATTACAAAAAACACACCAGACAGAGGTAAAGAGGAGCTTACTGCTGTTGGCAGCAAAGTGGTACTGATTGCACACTTCCTCTTTACCTGTCTGTTTCACACAAAAATATACTATAATAAAAAATATAATCTATTATATTTAGAAAAGAAAAAAGGCCTTAACTACAGGGAGAAACACTGAGACAGAACCACTGCACTAGCAAAACACTCTTCTTAGGAATGCTACCATTTTTTTTTTTTTTTGAACCATTGCTTCTCATGTTTCTTGTCACTAACCTACCCCAAAGTTAGCAGACAGCTGAACTGAAACTCATCTGTGAATTTGACAATTTCCTCATTAGCCTCTGTCCCTGTTCCTGAATTTGCAAATAAGGCTAAATTGTTTTGTTTTTTTTTTTTGTTTTTTTTTTGTATGTGCTCTTCATGTGGAGAGGTTTTGCTGCAGGAGGATCTTCTTTGGCCAGGCTATTGACCAGCCAGACAGCGCCATCAAAAACAAGGTTGTTTGTGCATTTTAAACAGATTTTCTGCAGTCAAGCACCCCCCCTACACAAACTACACGTGTGAGGGCGTGTGACTGAAAATATTCTACAGTAACTAACAGAAGTAACTGGAGACTAAGGCTTCTCAGTATCGACGTAGGTAACGGGCCAGTGAGAATTAACCTTTGCTTTATGAAACTTTTTTCCCGTTTATTCCCCTGGCGTTTGAATTGTTTTTCAAGCCCATATCCACAGTTTGACATGAATGACATCTCCACAGTATACTGCAAGTGTAATGTTAAGATAACATCACTGATATTAGAGAAAAAAAGAAGTTGGACAGACTGAAAGTCTAATCCCGTCTATCCAAAACGAACCCTTACAGCTATTGACTATAACTTTTTTCTCCTATGGTTTTTATGACCAACGTTTCGACACAAGTTTCATCGCATGTACATTTTTTAAAGATACTTACACTTACATGTGCTACAGTAAGAGCATTTGCACTAGACTGCAATGAAGGAATGTTTTCGAAATAAGACACTACGTAATCATTAAAAAAAAAAGAAACATCTACAGACATTGGTCCAACTTTACTATGGCAGTTTTGAAATTATTAGAAGAAATAGAGATGATGACGCATGCTGAGACAGAAGAGGAGTGTGGTGTCAAAGAGACTCGAGATGAGGTGGACAGACAGATGAGGGTCAGGTGGAAATGAGTGGGATTGATGATTAATGGGGATTAGTTGAACAATTCATGCATTGTTTATGTGGTTGATGGATGTCAGCGAGCACTGACTCTCAGGAAGCCACGAAAGAAGTTAAGACTTGAGTTCTTGATGGCATCAAGTTATAGAAATCTGAAGCTGAAGTAGCAGAAACCTGGGGAAGTTTAAGGGCAGTTTGTCTGTGGAATAGCTCCAATTTCTCTAACTTCATGATTAGTTTTAGTACAAGTTTTAGTCCTCTGGCTTATTGTGAACGGTCTCAGTGGACACGGGTGACAGGTGAATTTGAAAATGAATTGGTATTTCATTAGTTAAACGGAGACTAACTCCACTGTGCAAAAATACACCGAAAAGAGAGAGAAAGCCGGGGACAGACAGATGATGAGAACATGCAAGATACACACTTCGATTAATAGGCAGTAGTTAACGCTGAAGCATACGTAAAATTAATACAAAAATTAAAAAATACAAAATGCACACACACACACGCACACACACCTACAAAACAGTATATATCAGAATAAAACTCTACAAAGAACTATATATATCAGTTATGTAACAATTATCGCCAATCGTTGTTTCCTTTTCTGTTGTTGCATCGTCACAAGTGTTTGGTTCTCAGTATGGCAGGTTAGAAAAGCCAAGAGTACCCAGAAAGGAGACAGGGCCACACACTCACAGGACAAATATTGACAGGGGTCCAGAGGGGAGGTGGTGGAAGTGGGGGAGCCATGGGGCCCTGAAGGGTTTAGGGGTGTTATATCAAGGCTAATCAGGGAGATATATATATATATATATATAATAAACTAATTATCTGTGGTTAATCTTGTCATCAATTTGAGGGTTTTGTTTTTTTGTAGCAAGGAAGTTGGGATCAGACTGGGGTAGGACCAACTCTTCTTAGGTGCTGAAGTACACTGTGGAAAGAAACAAGACAAGAGACATGATGAAGTCTAATTCATAATGATTTAAAATACAGGATCATCATTTCCTTCCAGAAAAATGTTTGGATTTGTTAAAATGGAAACTATTTTGTTTTCAAATAAAATGTCTTGTTTCATTCTGGGACATTCCTCATACTGTATATATGTGTTCAATATGTGAAAGACAATTGATTAATAATAACAATGATTAATTTATGTGTACACAAAATATGAAAGTATTCTTACCAATAATGACGATGAGGACAATCACGCATATCACACCCAGGATAATCATCATCTGTAGTCAGTGGATTTTCAGAAGAAGTTGTTAGAGAAGCAGAAGGATGTAATTTTTGACATACTATTGTATAATCTTATGACATCTAACAAGAGCATATTAGATAGTAAATGTAGATGTCGATGTCTTGTATATCAGAAATCAACAGTTGCGACCGGCCTCATTTTCAGAGGCTTCCCTCTATGTTCTTCTGTCAGTGGGACGGAGCAAAGCAGCTTTTACACACATGTATTTGTTATTTGAGTGAGTTCGTCTGCATGTCCTCACCTTGGCGTTCTTCCACCAGTATTTATTCTTCAGTTTTGCAGCGCTGGTCTCAAACTGAGAGGCTCCAGCCTGCAGGGCATCGGCCCTATCGTCCAGTTCTGACAGCTTCTGATCACGCTCCAGAACCTTATCCACGTTTACACGCATGATATCCACCACCTGGGGAAAGAGACACAAAGCAGTGCAGCGTAATCAGCTCATGACTCTGTGTGAGCGTCTGACAGGATGGAGCTGGACTGGTAACACGGTTTTAATCATTACATAAATGACTAGAGTCAATCACCTTCCCAACAATGAAAGGTTTGTGTTTCTTCTGTTAGAAATGTGTGTACTCTCTGAGCACGGAGCCAGGACTGGACCACCAGTAGGTCCAAACGTCCACGTCCGAGCCTGACAACATGACGTGAAGCCAGGTGTGGACTCACCTCATCCACTTGTGCCTGTGTCTGCTGCAGACGGCGGTTGCTGGTGAGGTTGGGAGGGGCCTGACTCCCTCCCTCTGGTGCAGGGGCTCCAGCGGCTGGGGCAGACCTGTTGATAACAAAATACAAATATAAAGTGGTTAAAGGGCCAGATCAAAAAGAAAGAGAATAAGAATGGCTGGGTATTACAGTTAACAGATTTTAAATGAGTGACATTTTGCAATTGTAAGTCTAATTTTACTCAATTGTACATCAGTCAAATGTCTTTAACACAAGATAAACTGTTCAAATGTGAAATACAGATCAAATATTTCAGACTCATTTCTCATGATCATTAATGACCTTCCTCCCTCTTCCTCTCTGTGGTACATGTTTCATATCTGTTACCATACAGTGGGTACCTGAGGAAGAGGTTTGGCACATTAAATATGGGGGGAGGTCACAAATATTATATTAATAATATTAATATTTATTTGGGTGATTATTTGTCATTTTCAATTCAATAGTTGTTAGTGTGGAGTTTTTGTGTGAACTGACCAGATCTGGCAGATACAGGATAATGACAACACGATGGAGACTGTGGGACAGTGTGTGAATCAAAAGGACGGAAAGGTTCACACATTTACACGTGTGTATTGAGAAGTAAAAATAAGATCGAATTTGTAGGATTTGTAAGATTGAGAGATGACCACAGATGAAGAATTCCTTATGTTAGCACTGCAGAGTTCAGATAATTACCGTCTATCACAAAAGATCAGCTGGGCTTTGCAAAAGTCAAGTTGATTTGTCATGTCACGTTGTATTGTGCCCTACATAGTCCTATTCTTTCAGATGCACCAATAATGACCGTGAGGGGCCGAGAGTTTAAGTGAGAGTGTCATTTGCCACTGAAAAGTGAAAGCACCACGAAAAGTGCCTCGTGTTCACGTTAACATGTTCTGCTACCTCTGCTCTCTGCAGCAAGGGAAGCAAATGCACCAGAAATATTAATATGTATACAATTTAATATTTACAAAGTAATAATTGATTTTATTTGATTTTTTTATTCTATTTTTCTTTTCACAAGTAAAATGCTTATCCTCTTCCATCCTGTTGTTGTTGATTGTGTGATTCCTAAATGAATGATGAAGAATGAAAGATAAACAGAAACCTGTGTTGAGTGACAGTTTCTACAGTGAAACCTATAGACCAACTGTCATGCAGACAAATCCTAATGATCCAAGACTAATCACAAACACAGAGCCGACATCAGGTAACAGCTGAGCCACAACCGACCCAAAGCAGCAGACCTGACAGAACTGACAGATTCAGCAAATGAGTATCATTCACCAAATTCTCTGACAAGCTGTTTTTAACACTGGAGGAGAAAATGCACTTTTAACTCCCCCCTTTCTTCTGGTACACCATTTTCATTCCAAATAAAATACGTTGCTGAAAGATGAGTGAGATCATCACATGGGAATCAATAATGTTGTATTTATAGCCATTCCTACACACGTAGGACTGTTTCCAGCACAAGAATCAAGCCTAGTTCTACACTGAGGACATGTTCATAATAATATTTCTCTCTTTTGTTTTAATGTAGAAATGGTTATTGTTGAGGGTGACTGTGTACTCCATTCATCTCATATCTGACCTACAACCTATCATTGATTTTTTGTAGAAAACAAAGTTGTTTATTTGAAAAGATACAATTTCCTGTAAAGTGAAAGTTTAACCCTACATGTTTTCACTGAAACACAGAATGGACAGCAGGCACAATGTGTTATTGACAGCGTTATTGATTATAACCATGAAAAAACAACACCAACAACCTACTAATATGAGTTAGCATCTGCCCATATCGAAACAAAGTTTTTAAATTAAATCTTAAATCCTCTGCTACATGATGTAGCAGCAGGTAAATAGAAAGGCTTATGAAAAATGCTTGAAAGGCTTAAGATGAAGGAGGAGCAGCTAAATGTGCTTCATTTAGCATTCTTTATTGCTATCCACCAATCAATCAATGAAATGGAAAATGAAATTGTAACCTTGTACACTGTGATAAAAGGCTGTAGTATGTTGTGACAATAAATGTGAATAAGCTTCTCTAGCAGTGAGAGACAAAACTCTGTATAAAGGTCACCTTTACATGCTCACACATTACTAATCCTCTAACAACAACAAATCCTCGTGAATAGTTGGTGGTGCTGGTGGTCACTGTCAGCTGCCAACTGGCCCAAACAGAAACTGACCATATAAAAACTCACGGCTTTATTATTATTATGTGTCATGTTTTATGTCTTCAAACAGCTGTAACAGTATTAAAATTGTACATTGTGGATATTCACTTTCATATTCTTTCAACAAAGGTGTAGGAGGTTCACACTATCGTCGCCTCTGAACTGGCACCTCAACCAACCAAGAAGTCTTGTTAGTGCACTGTCAACATTTCTCACCAGCTTGCACACCCTGTGAATAACTGTCGACTTTGAGGGACGAACTGGAAGCGCCACAGAAAGGTGGAGTAACTACTTTTAATCCGCTACTTTGGTGGATAATCTCCACTTTTAATTGAAGGTGATAAATTGAATTGAGACTTTGCATGCTTCCCTAATTAGGGCACATACAACGGTAATATCCCCTCATGTTTATAGATTAATCTCTTGATTTGAGTGATGCAATAAACAGATATTGGTAGTGAATTAAGTCTCAAAATTGCGAGAAGAGAGACTGTTAGCCTTTTGAAAAACTGTACGTACCCTCTAGTGAATTCATGTCTGGAGTTAACTTGCTCCTATGAGCACATATTTCAGTTTCCTCCCATTTTACAGATCAAAATCAGTAAAAACCACAGAACAGAGAGAACAGAAATTAACCTATCAATCAAAAATACAAGTAAGACCCTTATCTGATGCAGGCAGCTAACCTAACATGCTGGGTTTGTTAAGGTTTAACAGGTCTCTGTCTACATAAAGCGAGTCCACCAACAATGTCAGATTCTCTATGAAAGCTAAATATATTCAACTCTCTTTATAGACACGGTCTATAAAAATGGTCTCTAAAGAGTGCTGCTGAAACAACTGAGATCTCTGTGCAGTGTTTCCAGGGATCCTCAATATGATTAAGGATAGATAGATAGATGGATAGATGGATAGATAGATAGAACCTATTTTACACTTGATTTAAAACCATAATAATAAATGAGGTCCCTGGTCTAATGGTTTGGGTGGTCACTGTCGTGGAAAAGCGGCTGCCTGACTTTCAGCACTGGAGAGCGACATTTCAGGACTGGACAGCGCCACAGCAGCTCAGACCTGAAACCGTGTGATCCCGGCCTCAGTGGTCCATTCTGTTTGATGTCACTGAACTGGAAACTAACCCACAACACTTTCATGTCTGACCGTACTCAGACCCAGCAGGCCTACATGATGTGCTGTAGGACATCACGTTTCACGACGAGCACGACGGGCCTGTAAATACACGGAGAGCCCACCCGACCACGTCGAGGGCGGGGAGGTTCCTTTGGGGTGGGAGGGGGGGTGGGGGGATTTTAAACACTTGGATTATAAGACAATGTCGGTGAAAGATATTACAACCAGTCAACAGGGTGAATGTAATCAGGCATGTTTCCACTGTTCAATAACACAGGCTGTTTCTACGTTGTAACTGTCTGCTATGCGAAAACGGACAGACGCGGCTGTCACGGCTCTTTCCCCCGCCTGCCTTTCATATATGTGCATCATGTGCAGTCTGAAAACACAAAGGAACAAATAAGGGACCGAAACAGAGACATTTTACGGGATTCATTTGGCTACGAAGACGCAAACAGCCGGGGAATATGGTGAGATATATAGCTGTCCGCCCTCGCACGACAATCGACGACATACAGTAGGAGGCTAGGCTACCCCCACCCCCAGCTGTAGTGCAAATATCACGTAAACTAGGCCTGAGCCTAAGTCAGAGCTAATAATACCACCGTCTATAAGAAGGTCTAAACGGCGTTCGTCGAATAATGTCGAAGCTTTAAATGTTCAACAGGCAGATTGACCAGACCGTTTGGCGCTACTGATACAGATCATATGGCTTGTTCAACATTATGTCCTTGCTGTTTCTAGAATTAGCCTAATCGTCACCTGCGGCTCAGACACACACGAATGAAGCCCTGGAAATGTTTCACAAGGAGAAGAAAAGGCTTTATTGTGCGTTTGGTTTGGTTGTGGTAGTTTTTAATTAGCCCGTGGAAACGCGTACACACGGTGTCCTTTTCAAATCAAACCAGTCCAAACTGGAAAAAAAAATGCGTGCGTGCTGGCTCGAGTGAAAAGGCACCACACGACAATGTGAAGGAGACAGGCGATAAACACGGAGCTCGTTCACCGTGAAAACGCCCCAAAATCAGGCTAATAAGGAGTTTAATGACGGATAAAAGCCGAAGCCTCCGTCTGCTCCAAGGTTAGGCCGACGTGTTAGCCTCGATACGTTTACGTTTGGGTCACATTATCGGAGGAACACAGCTCTGAAATGAAATCTATCACCAATATATCTCGATCATAGTCGGATTTACGTGACTCCAGTGAAATAACCTGAACATTTGATGGTAAAGAAACCCGAGACCCATCAGACACTATTCATCCCACAGAGCCTGCCAGCACCAGTCCTGAGGACGGGGTTGGGATTCATTAATAAATCAGGATTTGGGGAAAAAAAAAAAAAAGGAGCTTTAAAACGGAGCTGAAGTCTACTTACATTTTCCTTGTAGTAGTGGCTGGACAGCTGTGCTGAAATCCGGACTGGAAATGTTAGCGCGGTGTGAGTGGCTGGCAGATGGATGTGGATTGCCTGGTGCGCTCCTCTCTACCCTCTGGCAGCCTTTGGTTGGTTATTGTGGCGTTTCCCTGCCTATATAGCCGAGGAGGAGCACTGGCTTGTATCTCCCACTGAGATGTGTCCCCTCGCTACAAAACCCTTTTTTTTCTCTCTCCTCGCTACTTCTACGGCGATGCGGCAGCTGCAGGCTATAACTGGAGCCCGGCGCTGTCAGAGTCCGTGCGGTAATGAAGGTGTAATAAACAGCCGCCTGGATTAGGTGGACAAAGATGGCTCGGTGACGTCAATCGCGGCGAGTTTCATGTTGAGATGGGAGGCCGGGACTTCAAACACACCGCTTTTTAACGCTCGTGACGGCGGAGTTTTCATCTGTAGCTGCTGGTGTTGGGGCTCTACTCGTGTTTGCTTTTCACACAGAACATGTCATGGTCATGTTTGGGTTTACAGCTCCACTAAAGGAGCTTATTTTGATGGCAAGTCTGTGTGTCAACAAAATGGCGTTCCTCGAAAGGGGGTGTGGCGAGTCTCGCAGTAGGTGCCTGGTTATCATTCATAGTAAATATGGATGAGGACGTAGAGAAGAGTAAACCCACCTGAGAGCAGTTTACCAGCCTTTTGTTTGGTACTGATCTGCATCACATTTGGTATGGTACACTGAATTAATGTGAGGACAGGGTCCTTTTAATGTGTTCTCAGCCTTGGTGCCCCCCAGGGCCCTGGTGACCCGCTCTGCTTCCTGTGGTGGGGGCTCTAGTTTCACAAGCAAAGTAAAAAATAAACTATGAATCATTAAAAATAAATGGGGGATGGATGTAAACTTTCCTTCTAAATAGATGATTTCATTCTTACTGACTTTTTCTTCTTTTTGTAAAGATTCTTTTAAAAAAGTGGATTTTTAAAAATGCTCCTGAGAGTATGACTGATTTTTCTCCAATCAGAAGTGGACGTCATGGCATCAGACCTACAGCCTTTGGCTAGGTCAACCTAAAACAACACCAATAAGGAACTACATACACTACTCTTAATTTATTGGTATGAATTACTGTAAGTTTCCACTTTACCCTCAAGAGAATTTATTGCCAGAAAGACGGACGTAATCTTTTACATCCGTCTATTGTGGCACAATCTTTTACATCCGTCTTTCTGGCAATAAATCTGTTAACATTAATGATATTTTTAATAGGTAGAGTTTGTTTAAGTAAACCTCCAAAAGGGTGGAAGCAGCTGTTACCTACAGGATCCAATCAGTAATCTGTACATAAATAGGCCTCAGTAGTTTTTATCTTTGATTCAGTTCCTTGTGAAAAATATTCACTAATGTGTTTGCAGAAAGAAAGAAGTGAAGCTAGACAGCAATACATACAGATCCTTGTCTAGACTATAGCCCTGAAGGCAGCTTCTTTCTTGTTGGTCTAGACTTTCATAAAATATCTTCAAAAACTCCAAAAACTCTTTCTGAATGCATGAATACTGTTGTAAAAAAATTATAATCATGTGTGTGTTGGGTGAGACTTTATATAACTATAACTTTATATTTGTGCAGTGTATACTGTTGGGCAGGTAATTAACACTGGGGAATCCCTAGTCAGATTAAATCCTGTCACACAAGCATCATTGTACATATCAAAGCTACTAAAGCTAACCTGATCCCACCTGACACCTCAATTGGCTTAAAGTAGATGTCCCAGGCTGAAATCTCATGTGAGTTAGTTAGACCTCACTGAACCACCACTGAACTCTTTCTACACCAAACACATGTTCACTACAGCAGCTTCTTGTTTCTTGTTTAGTGGAAAGAAAAACTACAAATATGTCTGATGCTCATCTGTAATAAATAATGAGAAGAAGAAGAATTTTACATTTCATTTATACAGTGCCTTTCAAAACAAGGTTCCAAGTTGCTTGGTCAGACCAAAACGAAAACATAAAGACTAAAAAGACAACAACAGTGTGTGTGTGTGTGTGTGTGTGTGTGTGTGTGTGTGTGTGTGTGTGTGTGTGTACTCAGTCGTCTGTCTAAACTTGGGCAAATAGCACATTTGTTATCCTCAGGATTTCGCACTGTGTTGTTTGAATAGATGAATCACAGGCTCTTCAGAGCTCTTACATCTAACAAAGACCTAAACACTGTTTTCGACTGTGACGCCGTATCAGCAGTGAAGCATAGTGGGTGAATGTGGGATTATTAAAGGAGGCTTTGCTGCAGTAGCAGCTGGGTAACAGGACTGAATGGAAGTACAGATTTAAAAGTCCTCATTTTTTTATAGATCTGTATTTTTCGATTATAAAAAGTTGAGAAACAGACAAAAGGCTTATTTATGAGCCAAGCTCTCCACAAATACACGTGTATATGCCTGCTCTGCATCTGTTCATTATTTAGATGACCTTTAACGAAGCAGCATTGAATTGCATAAACATGTTTATGCGTTCACAGAAACAGAGAAACAGAATCATTTAATTGAAATTATTGTGGCTAAAGATAAAGGAACCAGCAGATTTCTATAGGAGGCAGTAATGTGAATGTTACCTTCCTTGATAGATAAGTAAGATAGATAAGAACAAAAATACTCCAAGTTAGACAGATGATCACAACATTTCTGATATGATAGAGTCTGATCTCTCCAGCTTCTGTTGGGCTGCTGATAACATCCTCAACTGCTGTTCCTTTTATCCCCTTTCTCCTTATTTAACCCCCGACTTGTTGCTAGGCTAAATATAACCCATACACTGCAGTTATTACCCTGCATGAATCATTTTGCCACAGGATTGATAAACTGTGTTCTGAACACTGTCTGGACCAGCCATGCTTATAACGCGTGGTCCCATGTGATGTAGATTCAGTGTCACAGTTCAGGGTGACTCTAACATGAGGGATATTCTCAGAGCGGCTGTGGTTGTGCAGAAACAACCACATGGTGGCGCCATAACACAGCTTTGTTTCATTGCCAAACTCCTTAACCATGTAGTGGATGATGTTTTAGTGGCTGCTTCCCTCACAGCTGTCAACTCAGAGATAATGATGTTTTACAGAATCATGGTAAAATCTATTGTATGTATTTACATACACACGGCTGTTCTTGTTAAGTCTGTCTCTCCATCATTTTTTAACTTGACTCATTCTTTTCATTTCATTTTCATATTTACAGAAATAAAACTCTAATTTGTTGGTTATTGTTCGATGGTTTATGGGAAGAATTATCACACTGTGCTAATACAGATAAGACCTAACACCTACATCACACAGTTGATATTTTTGCCTCCAGCCGGCTCTTTTTTTTTATACCACCATCTTATTTTATTACTTCCACATAATAAATCAAACTAACTGAATCATCTCGATGTTTGCAAAACTGTGTGTTTGTGTTCTTTCAGTTTGATGGACATAAAAGCTGTCTTTCATAGAAGGATATATTTTGAGTTAATTAAGTGGATTAATCTGGATGGAAGCTGTGAACAAATCCATTGTCATGTATAACCTGTAACTGTTTCTCCCACATCGCGGATGAAGGAAGAATTCTAATGTGGGAGACATGGGTGCTTTACTTGTTCTGTTAGGCCCCGATCTATAATTGATCAAAGCTTTGAGCCATGACTTCGTCTGAGAAACCCACAAGCCCCCACAATTCTTCTGCTCCATGCTCCAAATCTAAAATGTTCGTCGAGAGACTTGAAGTACGGAGTATTCTGCCCAGACGTGATGAACCACAAAGACAGAAAACATAATATAAAGTCTCGTCCAGACCAACAGGAACAATGAAAGAGTCTGAACATCAACCTTTATATTTCAGTTACGTCTCCAGGTTTTGCTCCTCGGGTGTTTTCCTGTCTGATGTGGATCTAATGGAAACAGTTTCTCTGCACTTTTCTTGCCGACATAAAACTGCCATAGTTCTCCTTCAGGGCTTCGAGGATCAGGTGAAACAGGGTCAATGAAGCAGTTGCAACAGAGCAGGGAAATTTATTTTCTGTTTAAAAGTGCCTTTACAGTATCCCATGAGGTATACAACTTTGATGAGATGAGACAAGTGAGGCTGTCACTGACTGATTGAAAGGTTTTGTGTGGAGGACATGATCGCTGTATGGAGTTACACATACACTTAGTGAACACACGATTTCAGAATCTCAATTTCATGGCACAACCTAATGAGAACAGACAAAACGAAGACAATGAATCCAAAATCAATGTTTTTCATGATAAAATCCTGTTATTCAAAGGTAAGGATTTCATTCACAGTTGTGGTCCTATTTTGCATTTTCTCACGTTCCAACAATCACAACGGTGTGTGGCACCAAAACTATCCCTCAGCCCCTCAAAAGCCTGAAGCACAAACGTCTAAACAACCAAATAAAACATCCCTGGTGAGCTTCTCCACTCTCTAAAACACGCCTTTCTACATATTGCTTTTTTTTGGATGCATTTGTGCAAAAAAATCTCATTGACAATTAACATTAACCAAAAAGTAAACCCATACACACGTGGGACATCACTAACTGAGAGGTTTCGTGTAAGGAGTGATATTGCACTGCTTTATATCAACCGCAGGGTGTTGCGCTGTTGCCGGACAGCTGTCAGTACACCCATGATACAGGCACCCACTGCGGGGTGGAGGTGGCACGCTCCATGGCCTCCTCCACGCCTTTTACACTTTCATCCACGTCGTTGTTGACGAGAACCACGTCAAAGAAGTGTCCATATGTGGCCAGAATGGCGTCCGACTCTTTCTGGATCATCTGCAGGTTTTCCGTCTAGGAGACAGAGACACAGAGGATTAGCAGCTGGAAGCTGATGGAGTTTGGTGTTTGAGGATATTTGAGCATATTCAGATAAAGGTAGAGCACCTGGGGAGCCGTGTTGGTCGGAGCGATGAACACCACAAGAGGCGCAAAATCAGCAGTCCGCAAGACTTTCAGGGTCTGCGATGAAATGTGACAAAGAAGAATTTGTGTTAGATCGATAAACTCCACGGAAACAGCTTCTACAAAAATGTGTTTTTTATGATGAGAATATAGAAGGTTTGAGGCATTGATTTTGGATTGGCCATCATCATGTTGCTTGTGGGTGGATGTCCAGGGATGACAATGACACACGAAGCACACAAAGCACACACAGAAGTGTCAACATACAGTATGAGCATGTGAGTGTTGTTGAAAACTGGTGAACCTTCAAACTAAAATGTTTCCTTTTGTCTGATATTTCTAGAAAAACCTAGAAATAC